AAAAAAAAAAAAAAAACTTGGCTGGAACAGAGAGCTTTGTGTAGATTTCAGACAAATATGCAAAAATCACATTTTCTGTAGCACATTAAAAGGTGCAAAAAAGTCAAGGGCTGCACAAACCTTTGCATAGGACTAAACTCTGCAGGAGAAATCAGCCTTAATAGGACAAATATTGACTGAACGTGTGGAACGTGTGTGTACATGCAGTATAGAGCTAAGCAATAAGATGAACTGTCCTAAGAAACATCTCAGAAGAGTCCAGCATGTCAGACCTTTATAAGTTTATCACTACATTACTGGGCTGTATCAGGTTGTTATTGCTGAATGGATGTGTTAGTCAGGACACATCAAGTCATTTTACTGTCCCAAATCACTTTAACACCACTGTCATGTAGGAAATATATAAAAAATATATGTATATATATATATGTGTATGTATATATATATATGCAAGACCATTTCACGCACTTCACGCCAATGCACTACCTAATTAAACAGCATTTTTCAATTAAGAGGTTTGACTGCAGGAATAAATACAGTATCAGGGCAAGTTTTGGAACAAGTGATATACAGTTTATCATCAAATGACTAAATATGAGTGTTTAATATCTGCCCACACTGTTAAAATACGCATTTATTCAAGTATCACAATTTAAGTATTCTTAATCTGCAACTTGGAAACCATACTAATTACAATTATTCATTCTAAGGTTTTTATAGTTAGTTTTAAATGACACTTTAGGACACAATCTTGCTCGCTTCTTGCCAGAATGGTACGATCCATATACAGTCTACGGTGCAGTCATAGCAACCGGTTAGCTTAGCCTAACAAACAGACTGAAAACAGCTAGTTTGTGTCACTAAACCCACCAACAGCAGCTCTAAAGCTCACAGTCTTACACAATATATCTAGTTTGTTGAATTTGTATGAAGGCGAGTGACCGCCATTTTTGTTGCTCTTGGTTGCCAGGAAACCAGTGAAGAGCCAACAAAGGTGTGAACCGTCTGTTTCAGTAAGCTGAAGATCTATCAAAGCACTGTGTTGGAATCACTGGTTTCAGTAGTTGGAGTGCAGCAAAGTTTTTAAAAAAAATTATTAGTGTAACAATGAAACTAACCCGAATAAAACAGCCAAATATTAATGCTTCGTTTCTTTCTGTGCAAACAAACAAACAAGGCATAAGCTGTTAATTGGTGAGCTTTAGAGGTGCACATTTTGTTAAATTTGAAACGACACCCGATTGCTCATGCTTTAAGTCTGAGCTAAGCTAAGTGGCTGCTAGCTGTGGCCTGACATTTAACCGGCATCCAGGAAAACTGGCTCAATCTCTGCAAGAAAGCGAATAATTGTATTCCCCAAAATGTCGAACTGTTAAATGACAATCAGGTTTTTTCTTTCACTCAACAACATGCACACAGACAACATCCAGTAAAAATCAACTTTAAAAGTCAGCTTAGTGTCCGTACAGTAGGTTTCGCTGTAGAAGGCCACACTGTTGAATGCAGATTCAAGACAAAGTCAGCTGGTCTGTGATCCACAGCTAAACAGGAACGAGCGATTGCAAATAATATTCGCCGTGTTGAACCCTTCGGCCCGCCAGAAACTCTTCTTTCGACCTTCTTTAAAATGGCGCAGGGAGGACATGCTGGTGTCCAGATTTCAAAGGATCAGCGGGACTAACACTCCTCCCAGCATCGGGGGGTAAAGATTATATTCAAAGTGCTATTTACATACATACACGTTTATTTTGTCAAAAAATAACCACTCTATTTAATAAATTAAAAGTAACAAAAAGCAATATATTGTCTCAAGGTAATAACAGAATTCTTTAAAGGTGAAAAATAGAATTTAAGGAATATAAAATACACAGCTTTGCAAAAAAAGACAAAAATGAAACAACGCAAACACCCACAAGTCCAGAGTTTCTCAACCTTCCCCTGATTTTAGTTCCCAAAAGTTTTTAATGATCCCAAGTCGTCATGCAAATTTCACTATCATTTATATTTTGTTTTTACTTCAATCCCCGGACAGATTTGAAACAAATATCAATATATATCAGCCTCTAAAATGGTCCTGAAAGGTTGCGAAACTTTGACCAAAGCAATAAAAACAGTAATACTTTGAATTTACATACATAGACCTTTCAGACTCAAGATGCTTAACAATCCTGTGAGAGCGTATAAAGAGAGCGTTCTTCCTGTTTCCCAGAATCCCCCCCCCCGCCTACACTCCTCGGACACTCACGTTGAGGGGGGTGTATTGCTGTTAAAGTGCGTTGAATCTTCCACTCGGACTCCCCTCAGACCAGGCTGAAGCCCTCGTACTGCTCCACGGCCTGAGTGAGGCGGCGGCGCAGGATCTCTTTGGTCTGGTAGCGGGGCATGTCCAGCAGGTTGTAGCAGGTGTGGGCCACCGGCAGGTAGTGCTCCTCCGCTGTGGTGGACTGGATGACGATGCGGAGGCTCTCCATGCCGTGGATGGGGATGCGGTCGCTGCCGGTCAGGAACACTGCAGGCAGGAGACACGGGGTCAAAACCAAACACTTTGAAGTGACCGCTGTGTAAATCTTTAAAAACAGACCGCAGAAGCTAAAAAAAAAAGCTCTCAAAACGTATTTTTTTTAAAGCTACATGCGAAAACAGGATTAAGGATTTGTTGAGGACTATAATCAGCAGTGGATGAATACACATTTGGGACTTTATTTTTGGCAGCAGGTGCTTGTAGGTTTCGCTCTAAATAAACTCCAGTGACTTTAATAGTTCTTTGTATTATTTCGGTTTCACAGCACCTCATTAGGAACACCTCCAATCCCACACCGCTGCTCTGCCACAGATTTCACAAAGGTTACACATTTTCAGTTTTTGTTGACATTGACAGACAGGTGAAAATTCCACTTCAGGTTTATTACTGAGGTTAAAGGTATTTAAAGGTGTTCCTAATGTGCTGCCTCCCTCATGTATGGTATGGGGTTGGGCAAAATATTAGGAAACACTTCCACTTTGTTATCTAATACAGCTGATATGTTAGCGCTAGTTTCAAGGCGTAAAACGCAAAATATGTGACCCATTGGCATGAAATCAGTTGCCTTGGGCTATATCCGAGATACAGCCTGAATTACGTTAACACATGATTATGCTTTTGGGTTTGTTACTTAGTTTGTTGTTTTCTACATGTAGGTACCATACAGTGTTACAGAGCTCCATATCGCTGTTAAATACTGCATGAGCGGTAACACCAGAAAGAAGCCGCAGAAATCACTTGTGTCATTGCCAGCCAGTCCTGCCCCGTGATTTACGTCATGTGGTAGCAACATGCCGCTTTTGTTTACACATAACAGCCCAACACACAATGCGACTGATTTTGTGCAAACGGGTCACATATATAAAATACCATCATCTTTTTAGTTATATTCCATATCTAATGCCAACAAAGCATCAAAGCGCATCTCAAATATAAAGCATGTTAAGGATGAGTTCTAATTCAAACAGCACAACTAGAGAGAACTTTGTATTCTGTGAAATTCACAGAGGAATGAATTCTGTGATCTTTTGTTGTGTTCTGGTTTCAGTCCTCAGAATTTGAAGCCACGTGTTAAACTGGTGGAGTGATTCAAATAGTAAAGAATAGTGAGTCTGATGTGAGGAGCGTTAAGTGCAGGTGTAAGAATTGGTCATACACCTATCATGATATGTCATCTTACAGAAAAATAAGGCATAAACAAACGTTTTAATGTCTTGGTAAACTTTGGTTTGACTCTTTCGCTCCGACTATAAACTGAAACGGTCGGGAGCTGAATACACTGCATCACATTTAGCACAACTATTATGATTACTACTACACTGGTCTGTAGTTGAGGCAGACGTGTGCAGATTTTGAGCAACGCTGCTGCCTTTACGCTCCACTCAGGAGCAACCTGCACATTATTACACTATTTGTGAAATGTCTGCGGGTGAGAGCGTGAGAATTAAACTGTCGTGCAGATGGAGCAATGAGGTAATTAAATGCCTACATAAGAACTGCTTCTTCTTTTCCAGAGGGAACTCGTGGAAAACCTCCCAGAACAATCTGACTGTTGGATGAGTGGCTGTGTACTCCCCTTTGTAGACGGCGTTCTGCGAAGAGAAAGAAGAAATGTGGACGATTAAAAAGCTTTTCCCCGTTTTGTCATCCGTGAATGACTCCTTTTGGGGCGGCAAAACAAAATCTGAAGAGAGCTGTGTGAATTTGTGAAGTTTCTCCATGAACTGCATTAAAAATTCTGATAAATTTCCATTTTTGACGTCTTACATAACAATCCCTCTTAGGCTTTCTCTACTGATGTTGTAATGTGCACGACAGGGACCTCTGAACAGTTCATATCATCAGTGAAATATGTGAAACTGTGCCAGCACGTCCCATCTATGATCCCATCCAGAGCTACACAGTGAGCCAACTGTGAGAATCATCCCCATAAACTGTGTTTCCAAAGCTGTGGTTGGGTTTTCGCTTGGATATGTTATTTATATGATTCTTTTTAACATGTGGCAGAATCAGCAAATGAAAACAAACCTTTCAGATGAACTCTGGCTCACTGCGAGCACCGTCACATGTTAGCCTTCTCTTTGTGAACAAATTAACGAAGTTAGAATTTAGAGCTAGACATCACTGTGCCAAAGTGGAGCCTGATTGAGCTGCTGGCACAACAGCTGTAGACTGCTAGTGTGGTCCAACATCCATACTAGCTTTTACTTTCATTTCAATTTGATGTGAATTTAATTAAAATCCTTTAGTGAGCTGAACAAGTAAAAGAACCTCGAACTGCTGAACAATCCTTTGCAGTGAAAGTGCAAATTTAAATTACTGAATTTGGCCGTAAACACCTCAGAACCTCACTGACCTTGGTCTCCACTTCTACTGTGAGGAACCTTGGAGTTATTTTAGACCACAATATGTCTTTGACCTCACATATAAAACAAGTCTCTAGGACAGCCTTCGTTCACATGTGCAGTATTGTCAAAATCTGGACCATCCTGTCTCACAGTGATGCTAAAAACTAGTCCATGCGTTTGCAACCTCCAGGCTGGACTGTTGTGATTGATTACTACCAGGATGTCCCAGTAACTCTCTGATAAACCTCCAGCTGACACAAAATGCTGCAGGCAGAGTTCTGGTTTAGAGCAGTACGAGAGATCATATGTCTCCTGTATTCGCTTGTATTCATTGACTCCTTGCAAACAATTTAAAATCCTGCTTCTCACATGCAAAGCTCTGTCAAAGCTCCGCTTTATCTTAGAGACCTCACTTTTACCGCATCATCCTAACAGAGCGCTTTACTCTCTGACAAACGCCTTTGTTGTGGCTCTTAGAGTTTCCAAAAGCAGAATCTACTTTTAGGATCAGTCTTACCGTAATTTGTGGACTATAAGCTGCTACATTTTTCACATGCTTTGAACACTGCGGCTTAAACAATTATGTAGCTAATTTATGGATTTTTATGAATTTGCCTCGAGGCAAAAGTGACATTGAGAGCAACAACGAAAAAGAGACTGAGGAAGTGTGTGACGAAGTCATTCTGAGGCTGTTCACTTCTGACATTGACGAAGACAACTTTAGTGGTTTTAGTGCGCAGGAGGAAGATGAAGATAGCGATCAATGACTTTTCCTGTTAGGCTACTGGATTTTTTATTTTTTTAACCAGCCGTGTTACAGGTACTGTTTGGAAAAAAGCATTTACGGTATGAATTTGTGTATGTTAACGGTATGTATTTAACTACAAGTTAAAAAAATTCTTTCTATGTAAATATCTCATGTTACAACGTGGACACCTGCAGCTTATAGACAAGTGCAGCCTATATATGTACAAATCTGTTTTTCTTTTTAAAGTCAGTGGGTGCGGCTCATATTCAGGTGTGCTCAATAGTCCGAAAATTACAGTTTGTTTTTTGTTTTTTGTTTTTTTTTTGATAAGTCCTGCGGTAAGGCCTGGCTCAGGTGATCCTGACCCATACCTTAGTTTTGCTGCCACAGGTCTAGACTGTTGGGGGACTTCCCATAATGGACTGAGCACCTCTCCTCTACTCCTTGTCTCTCCCAATATGTATATGTCACCATTACATGTCCATTTGTGTCTGCAGGATCTGTGGCTGCAGAGCAACATATTTCTGATCCACATTCACTGACGTCACTGACCTTCAAAGTGTCTATTTTCCTCTTTTGCATTGTTTGTCTGTTTTCTCCATGCTATCCTTTTCTCTCTCCCCTTGATCTCACCCCAGCTTAGCGACGCAGATGACTTTCTGGGAGTTTTGTTCCCCACTGAAGCCCAGAAGCTACTCAAAAAGAATTTTCCTCTCTATAAGGTTTTCACTTTACTATGTGAAGTGTCTTGAGCTGACATATGTTGTGAATTGGCGCAAAATAAATAAACCTGAATGGAAGTGAATTAAAAGTCGATGTGATATCACGAGTTATGTGACTGTGTTGTAATCCCTTCCCTTTTACTGGTTGGTGAGTGTAACTGTGACTAACTTGCCAGATGTCGATGATGTAAAACCCAAATTTCCAGCTCTGTCCAGTGAAACATGGTGATCATCACATCCACAGCAACCAATTTGAGGCACTTGCGTCACCGAGAGTTGAAGTTTTCTATTTGCAGTCGCTTAACTCAAACTGCGAGATCTCCAAGTGCTCGCAAAAACTGAGAATGCACAGCTGAGAGAGGCTGCGCTGACCGCGAGCAGGAAATGGTCAGCGCGGAAAGTCAAGAGCTGTTGGACGACATGTGCAGAACTTGAAACCACACACTGACCTTCTCCATCTCCTCCCAGTTGTAGTTGTTGTTGCCAACCACCATGGCCATCAGCTCAGAGGGCTGGAACAGCGACAGGATCTCCCCGCCGCACACCTTCAGGAAACCAGAGGAGAAGGCCGAGTACTGCTCGGCCGCCGAGTCTGAGAACACGTAGCGCAGGTAGGCCTCGACAAACTCTTTCCTGAAACACACACACACACACACACACACACACACACAGAAGTCAAGTAAACATTCAGATAATTGATTTATTTTGCCCAGCAGCTGCATCCTTAAAATGGGTTTATGAGGAAAGAATTCCATCAGGCTGTAAACACTCACTTCCTCCCTCATTGTGTCTGTATCTGTGTGTTTCCACATCATTTCAGCTGCGCTTTAGAAGCTAATTAATGTTTTGCAGGCTAACAGGAGTTCATCAACACCCTCCTCATCCAGCCTGACTGCAATCTGTTAACGCCTCAGTGAGGTCTTAGTGCAGGACCTGTGAGGGTAGATTACATCGATAATCTCTTCATCCCTGCTGGATCCACCTGCGAGTGCATCATTATAACAAGCTGTTTACCTGCAGAACAGATTATTTTAAAATTCTAGAAAAGTTAGCTAAGTAAAAAATGTTCTGCATATAGTAGTACCATAAATACATGACGTGTTCATTCTGAATATTTAAAGAAATATGAGCATTACACAGTATTATCCAGGCACATAAACGTTTCAGTTAAAGAGCTGTATCATCAGAAAAACATGCAGCTTTAAAATCATTTTTAAATTTCCGCCGCGAGAGATTCTGCCTGACTGTCTGTTAGAGTTGCAATGAATAGTTAGGTGTCAACTAGTAAATTAATTGCCAACTGTTTTGATTATCAATTATTTAGTTTGTGGATTAAAAAAAAAAAATCCCCAGATTCCAGCTGTGTAAATATTTACTGCTCTGTGACAGTAAATGAATGATCTCTGGGTTGGGGTTAAAACAAGACATCTGACAACATCACACTGGGCTTTGGGAAGCACTGATCGACTTTTTCCACCATTTCATAGATCAGACAACTTAACCTTTAATCAAAAAAATAATCCACAGATAAATCGATTTTAAATAATTGTTAGTTGCAAAACTACTATGTATCCCTGAAACTTAAACAGGATCCACTTTTGCACACACACTTTCCATTACTGCATAATAACAATAATAAACTGAATTTTCTTTTTTCACTTTTTCTTACACCTATGACAAATTTACAAGAGAAACAGTAAACCCGACAGAAGAACTAAGTACAGAGAAAAGACATAAAACCACTAAAGCCAGCCAAACACAAGCACATACATACAAACATCTTTACAAAGAGTCTCTTAAAAGGCCCCAAATCACAGGTTTGAGATCTTTCAGTCGATGACACTCCAAGGTTTAAGGAGATAACAGATTCCTCTCTCTGGAATACACATCCTCTAGCAGTGACTCCATTATTACATTTTAAAAAATCCAAGCAAGGAAACCATCACAGATTTTTGAGCTCTTTCCCTGAGAATAAAACTGTCCTTTAGTTTAGAAAACGATGATCTGGTATTTGGGCTGCTGCCATAACATCCTGTTCCAACAGGAAAAGCATCAAAATAAGGAAGCAAGATGCTCTAAAAATATGTTGTTTTATTAAGTTAGCAGAAGTCTGTTGAGCTGCAGGGAAGAGAAAAACCTGCTCTTAGTATACAAACAGCAGGTCCTCTCGTGCAGCAAACGTGCACGTACACAAATACTGCACCTTAAAAAACTAACAAATACAGCGCTCAGACAAACAGCGCACCTTGAGAAACAATTCTGTCCAACACAACAGGTCACACCCACAGAGGTCACAAAGCCCCAAAAACACACTCCGACTGACGCAGACAGACACAAATCATCCTTCTGACAAACTGACCTGCACTCTAAACCACACATAATGCAACAACACTGCATCTCTATTATGTCTCTTATGACAGTTTTCTATCTGAGTGCTGGATATTTTGCAGGAACAACTCGGGCCACTGCTGCTCTCACCATCTGCTGAGCACCAGCAGCCAGACATGTTGACACCACCCGACCCACAGCTCTCTGAGGACTCCTCCTCATAACACTGTAATCAGTGCCACTGGCACAAGGACAGGATTAAGAAATGAGGTGGAGCTGAGAATAACACCGAATGGCTCTTACAAAAAAAAAGAAAAGAAGTCAAACACAGATCATCGTGGCCTTCAGTTTAAATAATGGCACATCGACTGGCAGCTGTATGAGCACATGATAATCTCAATGCTGCAAAACTATATTCATAAACCTCACAGTCATCTGTTTGTCTTTCAGAGGTTAAGCTTCGAGTTGCGTGTATTTGGTGTGTTGAGCAGCCGAACCTGTTGTTTATGTCCACAGCGATGCTTTCTCCTCCAGGGATCAGCTCCTTCACCTCTGTCATCCCATAGTTCTCCCTGGTGATCTGAGATGTGAACACAACAAACAGTGTCACCTTGGACTTCTTTGTAGGTTTTGACACGGTAGGACTGAAGTTGTAGCTCATAATTCAGCACTTTGTAGTTAAAGAATAAGACTTGTGATATTCTGTTTTTATTACAGCGAGAAAACCAAAACCAGAAAGTATTTTCCTATGCAGCCAAAGCGTAGAACTCCACTGGTGTCGAAACACAACAAAAACAAATATCTTATATAGTTGTAATGTGTAACGCTTTATTTTTTATTTTTTGCACAAATCTACTGAGTCAATCCCACATACTAGGAGTGGGTAGATCAACTCCTAAAATATCAACACACCTGAGTCTTGTTGTGAGCGTAGTGTTGTGAGGATCAATAAATGGATCTGTCTAACATTAGGTCACATTTTAGGAACATAAAGACTTCTGAGTAGTTTTGCTCTTTGAACATGCATGTGACCAGATAACTACCAGGAAAATTCCAAAAAATGTGGTCAGAAACATACCAGTGTTTTAGCAAACACACAAAAAAATCTTTGTAATCTGGCCAAATCTTGTGATAATCCACAATGTACGTCTTTCTACAGTAAATACACACAAGTGACACGTGTGTGAACAGACTAAAGCCCCAAAAATGGACTATTTATTCCAGTTTGAGTCGCATTTGTAAAAAAAAAAAAAAAAACAACAGCAGTCAACTGTTGTAGGAAATTACTACGCCTTTTGAAAAAGTTGCAACATATTTGTGATCTGTATGTAAAGACTTAATCCTTCAGTAGGAATGACTGCTCCAAGGGAAATCACTTATCGATAATAAGAAAAATACAGAATAACACCAGCCTTATCCCAGAGTAACACATGAAAAGCTACACTTACGGCAAAGTTGAGAAGAAAAGTCTCCTCCACATCACCTCCTTCATAGTCTAGAAGTTGTTGTAGACTCCTGTGGGAAACATGAAATCGGTGAATGAAGACCAACAGGTGATCATGAAGGTATCGATCCTATCAGTGCCACAAAAAACAATCAAAAACCTGATTAAAGATGGTGCGGATTTTAGAAAATAAGACACAACGTATGATAGAAGAATTAGCTTCTGTATTGCTAACATGTGCATGAGCTTTGCTGATGGCTGTAACAACAAACCTCTTCTTCATTTCAACAATACCTGCAGCTCTGTGGGTTACACATCTCTTTTTCTTCTATGTCACACAGTTTAATTGAAAATTATACTCTATCCAGGTTTGACTTTTATATTCTTACAGCTGCACGGATTAAACAGAACATAGAAATTGTTGGTAAGGTTAGAGGTGAAATAATAAAATATTAGCCTACGATAGGAAGTGAGTCACAGGGACTGTTGTGTTACTTTTCCTGCAAAGAGCACGCTGGACATTTACCAATAAAACACAGGAAACATAGGAAGAGGACAAACCGGCTGGCAAAGAAATGTTAATTAGTCAAACAGGGTGGAGTATTATTTTCTTGAAATTTAAGGACAGCTGCTGAGCCGACAAACAAAAAGTCAAACAATCGATCAAAACACTAGAACTAATGTGTCTCTTTCTTGTCTGTGTGACGCGGTTGGTCGTCTGCCTCCAGTCTGTCAAACTTGGATTGCTCAAAAAAGACAGTTAAAAATACGACATGTTTTAGAGATGCTGTGTCTTTTAAGATTGTGTTCTCTATATAGCAACAGACTGTGCAGACCCACTTCCAGGGGATTTGTCTTCGCACTCCAGGATTATCTCTAAATCAATAGTCTGCTGGAGACAATTAGGCGCTACGGAAACGCTGACTGTTCCTGCTCTAAATTCAATGAAGAGGCCCTCAATTTCACTGCTCCTTAAAAAAAAAGAAAAGAAAAAAAAAAAACCTGGTTATGTAAGCAAGTTTTGCATCCTGATGCCAAACCTGGAGAGCAATTTTTATAGAGAGAGAGAACAGCAGGATCGGTCCTGTTTGTGCAGGCAATCAGAATTCCCCTTTGAGGCTCTTTTACTCTCTTTTCAAAGGAACTAAATAAAAAAAATATAAAGTGCCAATTTTAGACCACAAGGACACACACAATGTGGACATGATCACGTTAAATTGTTTGCAATGTCTGGAAATGATGAAAGCACTGCGTGGAGGAGAAAAGCTTATTCTTTCTGTCAAAACGGTCGGACACAATGGTTACCTGGCCTCGGTGGGTGAGAGCTCTTTGAAGTCATCCAGTGTGGGTAGAACATTAAGCAGCTTCTTGTAGAGAGCCAGGGGGAAGTGGAGGTCCACCACCGTGGAGTTGTAGATGGCCAGACCACAGATGATCCCGATCAGGTGAAACCAGTTCTGCTCTACAAAACACTGCAGATGCACACAGGAACATGTACTATCACCGAGTTGTATCTGCATCAACAGATTTGTATGTGGCGCCGTGTCAACCTAATCACACATTGAAGACAATAGAGATGATATAGCAGCCACATAAAGTCCTATTTACAGCATGATTCAAAGGTTACAAAGGTACTTGACATGCCTTTCTAGTTCTAACCTATTAGAATCTAACATTAGTTATGCCAATATGCTGTTAGTACAATATTTAGCACCAAAAAAAGTCATAGATCTGATCTGCTGGTTGGTGGATTACCAAAGTCAGTGGCATTCAGCCTTTGACTCCAGCCATTAAAACATGTAATTGTTATGGAGATATTTTGATCGGGACCAAATTAGTGCACTGATATACCAACGGTGCCATTCCTGGAGCTAGCAGCAACTACATGCCGTAAAAATGAAAATGAATGGTGGACTAATACCATCTGCCATGTTCAAATTAGAGCTGTTAGAGAGCTTCACTTTTGGTGTACAAAGTACACATTTTCAGTTTTTATGTGTGTTTTTAAACTGTTCCAAGAGCAGAGTTTGAATGGGACTGTGAGATAGGCAGCAGTTTCAATTTTGTTCTTACGCAACGGCACATTAACCAAATAATGATCTGACCTTGCCAACACAACTTGCTCACTCGATTTCACTACTGATGCTCAAAGTTCAGGGACGTTCCCTTATGGAGGTGAGTGTTTTGTAAACCAGAGTGTTTCCACAGTTATACAGCATGGCTACGCATATACAATGACAGAAACAACAGCTCTTTCTGAAAAACACAGTTTCAGGTCAAATAACTGCTGCCAGAACACAATGTGAGGACCCATTACAGGCTTATTTCTATCATGAACAGGCTCAACAGCTTCCAACCAAAAGCTCTAACAGAAGGTCAGTGGATTTATTAAAATATTGACTCAAAAAAAATGCCTCTTAAGTAACAGATGGCATTTTGCGCATTTGAAAGATCTTTTGGGGACATTGTCTGTAAGGGTAAATGAGGCCACATCCCTGTTCTTTGTCTTTATTAAGCAGCTGCAGCCATCACACAGCTGGATAAATACACAATCATCACATGGCAGAGCAGCAAGAACACTAATCACTCATAATTATTCAAATCTTCTGACGTCGTGATAATCCAGCAGTAGTTCTATTATCCGACATACTTTTCTGCGCAGCAAACAGGTGAGCTGCTGCACACATATTCACATGTGGAACTTGTCATCAGCGAGTTCAAATATCTGTTAGTCTGGAGAATCAAGACTTATCAACTGGCATATCAAGTGCATTATTAAAGGAAGTTCTAAGTCTTGCTGCTTAAATGTAGTGAGTTTTTTGCACTCAGTCTGTTAGTTACTGCAGAGGATGCTCCAGGACTGTGAAATGTCTTCATGCATTGCTGAAATTTCAGTGTTAAAGCCAAGTACATGCATTTAACAAAATAAAAATAATTTTGAGATAGACTGACTCTAAGATTTCATCAAAGCAGTGAATGTACACAACATCTCCAGAGACATTTCTCATCCATAAAACATAAAGACAACTGTTTACATTCAACTACTTTCTAGTGAAGAGTCCCTATTAACCTCCAGTAAACTGCCTCTCATCCTCTGCAGGTGTAGGCGGATTGTACAAACACACTCACCTTGACATTTCAGTGTAACACGATAATGTAACTAAAACAACCACTTCCTTTATCAACAACAAAATGCTTAGAGTGTTTAACTGCCTGCAGCTGTGACTCTTTAAGACATCTTTATCTCGTGTCTGTGTAGCTCTAAATCATGTCTTAAGTTGAAGCTAGAACGCTAAGGTTGTGTTTAATCAATTAAAAATGCTCAACAAATAGTTTTAGGTTCTAAAACTAAACTGCATGGTCTGACCATGGTCCCAGCAGAGCCATCTCCATGACAACAGAGAAAACTCTAGAATTGTGAGATGAGCGAATGAGTGGACCTCGAGATGAAAGTTTTTGTCAAACTGCTGTTTCCATGGGCAACCATGAACATTCATGAAGTGAAGACGTGTTTTGACTCCTAAATATCAAGGTTGGATCGGGGAGAAGAAGGTGAAAAAAACATGTTTGGCTTACTTTGTCTGAGAACCACAGCAGGTTGGACTCCTTGTAATGTGTGAACATCCCATACACAGGATCCATCAGCTCCTTCAGCAGCAGCAGGAAGAACTCTTTAGTTACTCCACCTGCATCTACGGCCTCCTCGCCATCGAAGATCACCTGAAGTAGTAGATGAGAAAGGTGACAACAAGCACAGAGGAAGCAGGCGCAAATTTTTGTTGGATTTAAACTAAAGAATCAAAGTTCATTTTTCTGTTTAGACCTGGCTCTCACCTTGAGCGGCTTCTTGAGGTCCACGTCAGAGTACATGGTGAGCTCACGCAGTGTGTCACTTACTAAATGGTTCCTGCGCACATGGAGCACTAGGTAAGGGTTCCTAGCAAGGTGGGGTTCCAGTGTGAGCAGCATAAAGACATTGTGTAGGTTTGCACCGCTTACTGCCATCTTGGTAATGGTCACAGGTAGAGGTGAGAAAGACACAGACAAAAAGATCATAAAATATTACCAGAGAGTAATTACATCAAAAACATTTCCTGTTTTAACAAACTAAATAAAACCTATGCAGTGGTATTATCCTCCATGTATGTAAGACTTCTTGGTCAGTAGCGGATACCTGCATTTGCAGTTCAGCATCTGTTTGCAGCATGGTTGTCTTGGCTTGGGCGTTCAGTATGAACGGGTAGGCACAAAGGTTCACTGTGAGAAAGTCACTCTGCAGGGAAAACAAGACTTGCACTTATTACACCAACAAATTAAAATTTGTCAAATAAATCGAAAATGCTTTCAGGGTTGAAAATCAATCTTTAAATCTACTACCTGCGAAGGGGATGATCCCATTTTCTAGAAATTAAAACAAAAGACAGAAAATGACAACAAGTCAAGAGCAGTGCTGTTATAAGACTTTAAATTCTCTCAAATGTCACAACAAGTTATAGAGGATTGTTTGTGAACTGAGACACTCAGTGGATAGCTAGAACTGAGATCCCAAATCCAATGTTTGTGCAACATTGTCAGGTGTTGTCAGTACTCACAATCTCGGCTTTATTCAGAAACCATTTGAGGTAGTCTTCCTGGATGTCCACGAGGCTGGTGATGTCGGGGATATAAAAGCGGTTGTACTCCACATGGTGAGCCTTTAAGTTTACCTGGTAACAAGGAACAAACACCTGCCTGAACTCCAGGAAACGTCACACATGATCAAGAACCATCTGGTCAGGACACACTGACCTCCTCCTCAGGCTGTGCTGAGGAACAATGCACTACAAAGCAGGTATTTACAGGAGCATCAGGTGACATGAGTGGATACCTTATGGAGTTTCTCCAGCAGCCTTAGCGTGGCCAGAAAATAGTTCTCATAGAAGACAGGTACAAGCAGCGTCTTGCCTCCTGTTAGCATAAACACAACGATGCTCTTGTACATGTCGACCATTCTGGTGAACACGCTGCCATCCACAAAACACCACCAGTTATCTGCAGGGACAGAACAGAGAGTGTCATACAGATTACCTCAAACCTGATAACAGTCCACTATACTACTTACTTGGTTGGAAGTCAGGGTTTTGGAAATATCAGAATAACAATGTTGTATCTGTTTCGAGTTGTAACTATGTTTGTGTCTATATATAGCAGAGTCCATACAGTTGTATATTGTTGGCGTAGATATGTATGGCAAAGGTATTCAGTCTGCTTCAAATAAAGTGCTTGTTAGATTTTGGAACAGCTTGTAACACCTTCTACCTGCCAACCTTCCCAGTGTCCAAATTAGAGCTTCTGCATGTGCAGTTTTTCAGAAACTGAAAGTCCGACTCTCACTTCATGCAATGATTGGCCAGGTGTGCAGAGGTGAGAGAGTAAGCAGGGACTGAACCCTTCTCTCTGGAGCACTCGCCATAAATACCAGGAATGCTTTTAAAGAGTTACTGTCAAAAAATGTCATCCAAACTTGTATTATACGTTGTGCCTTCTAATATAGCATCCAACTATCTCAACAACGCACCAAAAACTGCTCTCGACCAACTTGAATAGTACGTATTTAAATCATTTTTGTACCATTAACCTATGGCAAAAAAACAAACAAGATTCAAATTGGTCCAGAGTGGAGATTTTTGGTGTGTTGCAAACCTCTTCTATGTTTGTGTCTCACAGTGAAATCCCCACACCAGCTGCCAGCTGAACTTTATCTCTGGTAGGAAGACTTCAGATTTTTCTAAATATCAGTATTAACTACAAAAATCCTCATCACATATTGCCGCTGAGTTTGTCATGACACGGTTCATGATATTAGCTCCCAAAAGACAAATTTTACTCTTACTCTCTGGGTATGAAAAGAAAAACAGTGTCTCCATGCAAATGTGATACCTAATACTTTGCTGGGGTTGGCGTCTAGCCGGAGAATGGCCATTGCCAGGGGTATAGTGAGGCGGATGTAGTTCTTGGAGTCCAGCAGTGCTGGATACTCAGATAGGATGAGGTAGATCCTCATGGCCTCGACGTCAGGAGGGGAGCGCGGCAGCTGAGGGATCAACATGCTCTCAAAACTCTTGGTGGCCTAAACAAGAAGGAGGACACAGATATCAGACTGTCTGTTTATGCTTTTATGAATACAGCGGAAAGAAACAATATTTATTGTTGTAGAGAGAAAAGTATTGGAATGTTCTGTTATATGTTTGAAAGCTATTCATCAGTAAACCAGAGAAATTTATGGAATATTTTCCAATTTCTAAACAAGTCAGATCCACCAAGCAGAAGGAGGAAAAATATCAGTCACTAAATTTTAGGCGAGGCTCTTCGTGGTCGGGAATGTGACCTCAGTCTGCTCACAGATTATACTTCATATTGGGTTCAGTTATACAAGTCCCAAACCTAACATTATGGAGCCAGTGTTAGAGGCTATGAGTCAGTCCTGCATCTTGTGCCTTGGATCTTTGGCAGAACTTGATGTACTTTAAAAACAAACCAGATTTTAACATATGACATGGATATTTTTTGTAACCAGCAGCTCCACAGCAAATGCAGTGTCACACTCCAGCGTTTCTCTTGGACACGCTCCATTAAAAGCCTGCACAGGAAGTGTTTTTTGGACATTTTGCCTTCATAGAGGACATCAGAAACACTTTACAAATGGCTCTCAAAATGAATATAGAATATAAAATGAGGACATTTTGAATTGAAGTAAGTGGTAAATTTCTCATAACATTTAATTAACAATTCCTCATTTTGGGGGAACTTGGAGACAGTAAACATATAAATAATTTCATGTCCACGTGATGAACCAAGTCTAATATTCGTTCCCCTCTTAGCCCTGTTTTGCCTCCATCATCTCCTGAGACACGTCTGCTTCTTTAGCGGCTAAATGCTTCACAATTTTGTGCGTGTTGTTTGTTGTCAGCTGTTTGATGCTGGATGGGTCGAGTGCAGTGGATTTATTAGAGCTGTTTTACAAAAAACACGGGACTCGTGCAGCTGGAAATAAGAATCCTGGGAGCAGTGAGATTAAACCCAAACAGAGAAGACACAAGCTGTAAAACAATGAGCTGAAAGAGCCTCAAATGTTCCACAGAGATTGACCCATTGTTAATATAAAAATACTGATTTGTGTGGCTTTAACGACATCATCATTAGAATATGTGACTGAGTAGAACATGGCCCCAAGCAAAAAGCCGATTTGTCCAATAAAAATAATATTTTTTTTAGGTTTTTTAAAAACACTTTCATTTAAAAAGTAGAGGCCATGGTGAATCAGTAAAGAATTTTCTGTATTTATGTCTCTGGTTTGATAAAGAAACAGGAGAAGGCATCATCAATGAAATACAGGAAACTGTGTTTGGAAGTTAAAAAAGAAAACCAAAAAGTTCATGCACATATATTTATGAGTACTCAGACAGTACCTGCTCCAGAAGTCCAGAGAAGGCCGGTTTGCTGAGAGTCTCAAACAGCACTCTGACAGAGTTGAGATCGATGCCTGGGATCTTTGGGTTGGTTTTGAAGTGGTTATCATCACTGAGGACACACACAAAAATATAACTGATAAGTCAGTGATCATTAACAGGATAAAAATAGGTCAGGGGGGCTTTATTGTAAAGCCTTGATGTAAAAAGACACATTGCTTTGGATTAAATGCAAACCAAATCCAACCCGTCATGTGGCGAGTCAGCTGTGATTCAAGTTCACCAAAAGGTACGACAGGTATGTGTGCCAATTCTCAGGATAACATGAGCAACGATTAGGTCTACACACAGCCCAAATGTATTTAAATCAATCCCTAAGCAGATCTCCTCTTCAGCCCAGGAGCTGGCAGTAGTAAGCACTATAAACACACCCACAGCATTGCCTCAACCAAAGTCAACAAAACCCTCAACATGAGACACAGCATCTATTTACAGTGTAAGCCTCAACATTCTTATATCATAGGTTTTATTTAGTCATAACGCAAACACATCGGATCTGGTCCTGTGGAGACTGTTTGTCAAACAGAAAACACTGATTGAAACCGGCGAACTGTGAGTCAGAGCAGTGACCCGCTAAATGATGAGAACTCTCCGAGCTTAAACCACCGTAAGAGCAGCTCCGTGTCCCAAACGTGACACTAATACAAAGAAAAGGGATGTACTGGCTGTGAATGCATGTACTATAAACAACTGCAGCAAATCCCAAAGCTGTCACTCTCAAAGGGACATACAAACACAGAGTACATTCAATTTCAGCATAGTCTAGACTAGGGCTGCAAATAATAGTAATATTCATCATTAATTCATCTAAAGATTAGTTTTTTTTTTTATTCTTACATAATGGCTGGTCTGCAGAATACAGCGAGAAAACAATAAATAATCCCTGTTGCTGAAGCTTTCAAATGTATTTATTTCTAGTTCATAGTTCAACATATATGACAAAAATTATAGCAAATGTGCATAATTCAGAGGCTTAAACTAGAGAATACTTGTAATTTTTTGCTGAAAATGAGTTAAACAGTTAACTCAATATCAGAATAGTTTCAATCTAGTCTACACTCAAATATATGAAACAGCAAGACTGCCATTTCATCTTAAAGGCTAACAGTAAAGCATTACAGACAGAGATTTTATCATTTAAAATTTGACTTTTCACTCAGTACACTGGTGTGCAACACATTTGATGAAGATAAGAACAGTTTGATTTAAACACATTTTCATGGGGCTTCTCAACATCCAAACTTTAAACCACAAGTCAATCCAGCCTACAGCTCATGTTATGAATACATCATAAAGTACAGCATGTTTTCTATCAATTCTATAAACTGTTGCATAAACAGTATAGCTGGGGATTATTCCCAGAGATCCTGTCCCCAGATGAATGTGGTTTTAATGTGGCTTAATACCCTGTCACTGAAGTGGTTGTCATGACGACGAAGAGGTGTGACGTCTGCGGTGTGATCACGCATCTGAGTTCAGGGGTCATACTTAGGCAACCGACTGCAGACAAACTGTGACATTTCTCCCACTAGGCTTCAGTGTATTCTGCCTAAACTGACTGTCCTGAACTTGACTGCATGTTGCTTAAAAGTGAGTTGATTAAATGTCATTTTGTTGTCAAACACTCCAGACCTCTGACTTTAAATAAAACTCAATAAGTTTGTGAACTCCTACATTATAGGTTCAAATATTAAAAAAAAAAAAACTGCTCAATACTAAAAAATAATACATCTGCAACTATTCTCGCATTATCAATTATTGTTTTTCTGAGAATTATAACGGCTTGAACAAAGTAGATATTTGAATATTTGCTACTGTATTTGTCTAGTGTTTGATTTCAGTTCTCAGGCAACAGCTGTCCGTTTACTGTTTTTATGTTTATGCTGTTTTTATATCATTAACTATTGCTCTAACTAGCAATCATTCCATAAACAATTAGTGCTGATTTTAAATGTCTTGTTTTGGACAAGTTATTTGAGTTATTTGCAAATCCCTACATTTGCGGTTGTCATTTTTGTTTTACATCAGTCCTGAACAACTGAATAGCTATCAAAATCAAATCAACCCTCCCACTGCTCCTGTCTCGTCATTTCATCTGGTTCGTACTTTCAATAATTCCTGCATTAAGGATTTTATGTGCCTGCTGAGGTCTGTTTTCAAACATGTTGACCTCTGCAGCTCATTCCCAGGACGAGATAAGTATCTGCTGATGAGTTTGCCCTAAAAAGCTGTGACACCTACCGCAGGCTGATGGAGTCACACAGATCTCCCTAACCAAACAGATAGCATCTTTCCCAGCCCTCACGATCAGCATGTTTTGCTGGATAAGGTGATGTCTATTGAGTGAGAGTATGTGACATGCAGTGTGAGGTCACGGATGAATCAGTTCACAAGAGTCTTGCGGAAACATGAACATGCGCATTCAGCGACACTATTTTTGGTCACACGGTATGTATTTCGTTCAAATTTCATGTAATTGTATGCACCTGAATGACAAGCCAGTTACTCTATGATGAAACTGCATTATTGAAATTCATCCAGATCAGTTTTAACCATTTTTTTGGTTCCTCAACCACACTAACAGGTTTCCTTACATGCACCAGTTTGAGTTGTGACAGTTTCAGTGTAGCAATCCAGCAGCACACTATAACTTTGATGTCAAGCGTGAATGCAGTTTGTACCATCTGTCACCTGCCTGAACCAAGTCCAAAGATCCTGAGCGTGCACTGTGCTATTTCTGGTAGAACACAGACGAAATACAGACCAGGTACACGCACAGCACTCCAAGATTATACCAACCTTGTTGTATCTTCTATTGAACCAGTAAGTTCTTCTGATAATAGCAATACAGCCAGTGAGGCACAGTAAAGACTAATATCCTTGGGCTTTAATCTCCCTTCAACACAATCAGTGTGCCATACACTCATCACAGTTATGTACACACGGTCCATTGTTTATGTTTTATGTTTTTTTTTTTTTATAAATTCTTACCTACTATGTATATTTTGGTCTTTTATCCTAAAATAATGTGATTCGTTCAAGTTCACTTCTTCCACAGTCATCTCTGGGTACTTCTGTTTTGTTATTGTCATTTTAAAACTTCCAGCAGTAAAAAAATGCAACCAGATCCTATACTTAAATCAAAAATAAAAAAAATACTCCATTACAGGTAAAGGTCCTACAGTCTTATTTAAAATTTGAGCTGCAAAATGCACTTACATGGCTTATTACTATCCTGTAAATACAGATTAATCAAGAGATGTTCTTTCTTCTTTTGTACACTTAACACAGTGAGGTTCATTAGTTTCAAACCCAGGGCCCCCACCAAAGTCTTTCTTTCCACAAATGAAACCTTTGCATTGACACAAGTAAACGTGCTGTGATGTGAAACAAAGCTTGACAATGCTGCCTGTGTAATTTGACACAAGTGTTTTGTTAGAGATGAAGTTTGTGTACCTTTGGTCCAAGAAGCTGGCATTCCAACAAGCCGTCGAGGAGAGCTGAATTATGATGTCGCTGTGAACAAAAACATAGAACCGCATTACAATGAGAAATGTCAGCTGACCAAGTGCAGGGACACTGTTGAAGTTCAACTAAACATAAACTGTTTGTAAAGCAAGAAAAAAAGGCACAACATTCTAATTTATTTAAAATAATAAACTTCCACTGTTGACTTACTTTGTGACGCTAGAGTCTGTGCTGTACATCAGCTTTAACCTCCATGAATTTAACCTTTCGTAATTGATTGGGGAGAGGCTTTTGTTGACATTGATCACCCTGAAATCTTCTGGGGTGACAGAACTCTGTAAAGAGGAACACAAACAGAAGAACATTACAGCACTGTGGAAACATGGAGGATTGTTTGCACTCGCTCTGCCGCTGTGTGTGGCGCAGTTCAGTCTGGACTGTGTCTATTTCCTCAAAGAAGATAAAATAAATAGACTACGCCTGAGGTCTAAATATTTTGCTGGGGTGTGTGAGTGCTTTACATCTTTATCAGTGTACATTCCTGACAATTTGTTTAAAATTTGTCCCAGACAGATGCTCCACATACAGTATAGTTTGTATATATAGGTGAACTGCTAGAAGCTTAAACAGTAACGCCACCTTGTGGTGAAACACCGAACTGACACAGTCTGAACTATTTGATGTAGTTAAAAACTAACAGATTTTTGGATGAGTTCATGCAGTTGTTTTAATTGCACTTTTTTAGACAAACAGTGCTGACCTTAAGGTTAGAGAATATGGAATATGCATGTGTGTGTGTACATGTGTCCAGCTTAATATACATAAAATTATCTCAACTTTTTTTTTTTTAAATCCTGAATGTGCTTTGAGTATATACTTATTTTTAATATCTGATTTCTTCAGACACTTGACTTTCCCACTGTGCCACACATTTTTCCATATTTCATAACAAAAGCTTTGTTTTGATAATCATGCTTTGAATTCTTTGACTACAGGACTGCAAAAATAAGAGGGACTGTCGACAGTAAACAATAAAAGGCTGTCATGAAATGTGAAGACAGATTTGAGATAAACTGAAGCAAAACAACAAGCTGTTACAAGAAATGACGTACCTGTTCACTCGAGTACAATAAGAAACTATGGTCTCCTCCACATATGGTTTTGGTCACTGTATACTGTTTGGATTCTAGTAAAGCAAGGGAAACAAACAGAAATGTAACATTTGGCTAACTGTTAATCAAATAGCTACATGTAAGTTACATATATTGTTTTTTTTGACAGGGTAAAGAATTTTAAACTGCAGTTGTATGAAATGCTTGAGCTAGGTTAAAATGCATTGTAAAGAAACTGTTGCTTTAACCAATCAGATTTAGAGTTGGTGATCCCAAGGCCATCTAGCAGGCGTACGATAATATCAGTACTTTCATGTCCTCTGATTGGATGGTCAGAGAATACTCGGATTGCAAAATTGATATCAGGATACCACCGCAACGACCAAATACTCGGATATTAGGATGTTTGGGTCCAGCCCTATTTCTTGCTTTAGTAATGGCATTCATTCTTGCTACATGAGATACCTGTCTGCGATGCAACGTCCTGTTAAAGTGCCTTTCTGTATAATACTGATGGTTTCTATAGCCGTAGCCTGGGAGTAAAATGCACAGCCCACCACTGAGTTTGGACCATTCTTCTTTACAAAACAGTTTCAGTGCAGCAATATTCTTGGGATGTCTCTTGTGAAATGCTCTCTTGAGGTCATGCCACAGCATCTCAATTGGGTTGAGGTCAGGACTCTGACTGGGCCACTCCAGAAGGCGTATCTGAAGACATTCTGTTGTTGATTTATTTCTATCCTCTGTGTCGTTGTCCTGTTGCATCACCCATCCTCTGTTTTCCTACAAAATGTCTTGATAAACTTGGGAATTCATTTTTCCATCAATGACAGCAATCTGTCCAGGCCCTGAGGCAGCAAAGCAGCCCCAAACCATGATGCCCCCTCCACCATATTTCACAGCTGGGATTAAGTTTAGATGTTTGTGTGCTGTGGCTTTTTTGCTCCACACATAGTGTTGTGTTTTCCTTCTGAACAACTCAATTTTGATTTCATCTGTCCACAGAATACTTTGCCAGTAGGGCTGTGGAATATCCATAGACTGTATTAAAGATGGACGTAGCAACCGGCCCTGAAAAATGAAGCCAACCCGGAAGTGTCAAAAACCTGCAATATCACTACGTCCGCTAGTTCCTGGTTCCAGAAAGCCCTGGCTCCCATAGACTTGAATTGGAAAAGAAGTGATCACAGATCATGAAATACCGCGTTCCTACAGCTCAGGATTTTTTTTCTTATTAGTTTTCATAGTCAAATCCAGAGATCAGGTGACCAATCTGAAAAAAAATCAATACTGAAATTTTAAAAAATCGTCAAAATTTTGCGGGGCAAGGGGCGTGGCTGGCTTGATTGACAGTCGGCAGCGATGATGCAGACGAAGCGAGCAGAAGGCGGTAATACAGTAGCTACGTCCATCTTTTATACAGTCTATGGTAATATCTAGGTGTTGTTTTGCAAACTTCAAACATGCAGCAACGTTTTTTTTGGACAGCAGTGGCTTCCTGTGATGTCCTTCCATGAACTCCATTCTTGTTTAATGTTTTACTTACTGTAGATTTGTTAACAAAATGTTAGCATGTGCCAGATATTTCTGTAAGTCTTTAGCTAACACTCTAGGATTCTTCTTCACCTCATTAAGCATTCAGCACTGTGCTCTTGCAGTCATCTTTACAGGACGACCATGCCGAGGGAGAGTAGCAACGGAGCTCTCTCCATTTGTAGACAGTCTGTCTTACCATGGACACATGAACATCAAGGCTTTTAGAAATACTTTTCTAATCCTTTCCAGCTTCATGCAAGTCAACAGTTCTTGACCGTAGGTCTTCTGAGAGCTCTTTTGTGTGAGGCATGGTTCACATCAGGCAATCCTTTTTGAGAACAGCAAACTCAAAACTGGTATGTTTTTGATAGGACAGCACAGCTTTAACCAACACATCCTATCTCATCACATTGATTGAACTCCAGAGGGGTATACTACAGATCAAGTTTGACATAGCCAGGCTTTCTTTGTGTAAGCGACACTGTAACTACACGACTTCATTCAGTGATATTAGTAACACACATCTCAACATGTTTGCAGATAAAACATATTCCCTCAGTTTAGAATCTGTATCGCTCATAAATAATAGTCAGTAAACAATTTGGTTAAAGGGAGATGCTTTTTCCAGCCGATTTAAATCCGAAACGCTGAACATAACCTGCTACCGATCAGGATAGCTCCACAGCATCAGTTACCATGGAGATGTAGCAGGTTAAAAGAGAGCCACCTTCATGACACTGAAAACTCTGGCTGTAAGCTCAACATACCTCGCTAACCCACTAATCTTGCTTCATAGTACAGCCCACTGGCTGGCTGACTCCTGGCTCCAATTAGCTCTTCGAGAAGTCATAAGCCTAGGGGTTTACATAATTTTTCCATCCTGCACTGTGAATGTTTACATGTTGTGTTCAATAAAAACATGAAAACATATAATTTTTTTTGCAGTATTGGTTGAAGCAGACTGTGTTTGTCTATTGTTGCGACTTAGATGAAGATCAGAACTCATTTTATGTCCAATTTATGCAAAAATCTAAGTAATCCCAAAGGGTTCACATACTTTTTCTTGCAACTGTACATCATAATAATTATAAAGAACAATGTACACTGGAGGCATCAAGCAATGATCCTAAAAGCTAATCTTTGTACAATTTTATTTTGATAGACGTTTTGGAAATGTTTTCAAAGTTCATCTTCTAACAGTAGAAAGATTCTCCTGTGACTCACACCCACTGGATTATATTATGAGCAAATACAGTCGCATCACAAGCCGATTCCTGGTAAATCCAATAAATGAAGCTGCTGTATAAATAAGGACTGTTTTGATTGTGTAGTAATTATCCTCCTGGATTTTATCGCCGGCTGTTTTGCCAACAGTCTGCACAGCCTTATTTATAAACCACCCACATCAGAATTGCCACAGGGAAGATATTTCAAAGAATGGTCATTACATAAAGTTGCAACTAAATTCTCATGTTGTTGGATAATCTCTTAATGATCACTTTTGCATTCTAGGAAACAGGGTCCCTCAGTGGCATGATAACGAGGGTACATAACATTTACCACAACATCCACAGCTTAATTACCTTTCATCCCTTCATATCTTCCCCTTTCCCCACATTTCCTGCCAGCATCTCCACTGCTACTTTCATTAAAGGCACAAATGCGAAAAAGGAAATATGTCTAACTGAATAGGAAAACACGGAAAAAAGCAGCCGGGCATTTTTGAAAGGCCATTTTCGTTCTGACATTATAGATTGATCAACAAGTCTTCCTTTACCTCTTCTATGGAAATTTCCAGTCAGGAAACTGTTCTTCACAGGAAATGGGCTTCTGGCATCCCCCAGTATTCCTGTGCCCAGCTGGCCATGGCTGTTACAACCAAACGCATACACCACGCCAGAGGAAGGCACGAACGCCAAAGTGTGGTGCCTGGTAAAAGGAAAAAGCAAGATTTATAGTCGCATGAAAAAGTTTGGGCACCCCTGATCATTTTCAAGATTTCCCTTTATAAATCATTGGTTGTTCGGATCAGCAATTTCAGTTAAATATATCATATAGCAGATAAACACAGTGATATTTGAGAAGTGAAATGAAGTTTATAGGATTTACAGAAAGTGTGCAATAATTACTTAAACAAAAGTAGGCAGGTGCATAAATTTGGGCACCCTTGTTGTTTTATTGATTTGAATACCTTTAGCACTAATTATTGGAACACAAAATTTGTTTGGTAAGCTCATTGACCCTTGACCTACATACACAGGTGAAGCCAGTCATGAGAAAGGGTATTTAAGGTGGCCAGTTGCAAGTTGTTCTCCTCTTTGCATCTTCTCTGAAGAGTGGCAACATGGGAGCCTCAAAACAACTGTCAAATGACCTGAAAACAAAGATTGTTCAACATGGTTTAGGGGAAGGATACAAAAAGCTAGCTCAGAGATTTCAGCTGTCAGTTTCCACTGTGAGGAACATAGTGAGGAAATGGAAGACCACAGGCACAGTTCTAGAAAGAAGAATCTCAGATAAGCAGAGGCGAAGGATGGTGAGAACAGTCAAACTCAACCCACAGACCAGCTCCATAGACCTACAACATGATCTTGCTGCAGATGGTGTCACTGTGCATCGTTCAACTATTCAGCGCACTTTGCACAAAGAGATGCTGTATGGGAGAGTAATGCAAAGCCTTTTCTGAGCACATGTCACGAACGGAGTCACTTGAGGTATGCTAAAGCACATTTGGACAAGCCAGCTTCATTTTGGAATAAGGTGCTGTGGATTGATTAAACTAAAATTGAGTTATTTGGACATAACAAGGGGCGGTATGCATGGCGGAAGAAGAACACAGCATTCCAAGACAAACACTTGCTACCCACAGTAAAATTTGGTGGTGGTTCCATCATGCTGTGGGGCTGTGTGGACAGTGCAGGTACTGGCAATCTTGTTAAAGTTGAAGGTCGCATGGATTCCAGTCAGTATCAGCAGATTCTTGCGAACAATGTTCAAGAATCAGTGACAAAGTTGAAGTTGCGCCGGGGCTGGACACTTCAACAAGACAACGACCCTAAACACTGCTCAAATTCTACCAAGACATTCATGCAGAGGAACAAGTACAACGTTCTGGAATGGCCATCTCAGTCCCCAGACCTGAATATTATTGAAAATCTGTGGTGAGATTTAAAGCAGGCTGTCCATGCTCGGAAACCATCAAACCTGACTGAACTGGAGATGTTTTGTAAAGAAGAATGGTCAAAAATACCTTCAATCAGAATCCAGACCCTCATTGGAAGCTATAGGAAGCGTTTAGAGGCTGTTATTTCTGCAAAAGGAGGATCTACTAAATATTGATGTAATTTTTCTGCTGGGGTGCCCAAATTTATGCACCTGCCTACTTTTGTTTAAGTAACTATTGCACACTTTCTGTAAATCCTATAAACTTCATTTCATTTCTCAAACATCACTGTGTTTGTCTGTTATATGATATATTTAACTGAAATTGCTGATCCGAACAACCAATGATTTATAAAGGAAAATCTTGAAAATGATCAGGGGTGCCAAAACTTTTTCATACGACTATATAATGCTGGGGTGTACGAACAAACTGCAGTCAGTTACACATCAAATCAGTCACACATTTACAGTCTAATCAAATTCATTACAATCATCATTCAGTAAATTATAACTTTGTGATTTTTTCAGTTTTGATTAGTTGATTTGTGTTGTTGGTGGAGGTGTTGAATATATCTTCAATATCATTACTTTTTGATGTTCTAATTAATTCATATATTTTTAAATCATAGACCAAAAGTCAAAAGGAGGAGGGCAACAAAGGGTGGTGTTTCTTATTCTGGTGAAACATTGTTGATCTTTAGCTAGTCAGCATGGTTAGATAATTAGCATGTGACAAGTTTACAATCCCTTCCTTCACTCCCATTTCGTTTCCCATTCTTTTGTGCACAAGGATGAATGTGCCCAGCACTAGGTGTAATATAGTGGTATGTGGGCCGTTCCAAGCCATTTACTTTCCCATTTTCAGAGCCAGATCTTTTTTCAATGCGTACAAAGAGCAAACAGCTAGCAAACTGTGAGAAGATATTCTCTGAATCTGACAAAACAGTGTGTTGGATCCACCTTTAAGCTTCTGGGCACCTTGCAGTTGTTTCGCTTTATTGCATTTATGATAGGCGTTTCCAGCCTCTCAAGCAGTAAATAGGTGTGTGGACAAAACACCAAAAACACCATGTTCTTGTTAACATGTTCCAAGACACAGCGCCATCACTAACTACAGCCTCAAAAAACCTTGCAGAGTTAAATCAGCAGCCTTCTGATGGGCACAACAAAGATTAAGCACACAAATATAGAATTTTCACCAGGACTGTTTCATTGTTTTTGCAGCAGACTGTACAGATGTATTTTTGGAACAGACAGTACCTGCCACAGGCGATCTGGGACACCTCAGTACCCATGAGCTCCAGCACTCGTCTCGGTAAAAGTTCATTGTTGGTGGAGCCATGACCCAGCTGACCCCACGAGCCGTCACCAAATGTAAACAAGCCGCCATCCTGCCAAAGAGACAATACATTGCTGACGTTTCTGTTGTTATATGAGGCAGAAATTCTTTGCATAGCTTGGCAGTAAGTCAAAACAAAAGATCCTTGTCAAGGACCACACCTAAGGCACACATGCTAGGTGGTGGATTAGAATTAGAAAGGGTTAGGCTATAAGGCTGGAGGAAGATTTAGTTTTTATCCATGCAATAACAGCATACAAAGTAATAATACAAAATGAATCTATTAATTATACAGGCTCACCAACCTGGACTGATCAACAATTCACTGTATGCCACTAGGGGTTGCAAAAAATACTGAACGTATGAAAATCTTTCAATTTGAGCACTGGAGAGAGTTCAGCACCATTCATACCTTTGTGAGTGCTGCTGTATGCTCATCTCCACAGCTGATGTAAACAACTTTTTGAGATCTCAAAAATTTGATGTGGCACGGGACGGCACGATCTGAGGAAGGAAACAACAAGCAACCACTTTCATACTGTTCTACACTCCCACTGGTTTGACGAATTACTCAAATGAGTGGGAACACTAGAACTTCTGTATTTAAACTCAACATGGAAGTGGCAGTCAAAAGGTAAAGTCTACTTTTCATGGCAATCGTGCGCATATTTGCAAAAACGCAAAGCCCACAAAATGTTTCTACAGCGAGCTCTTACCCAACACGATAACTACAGCTTCTAAATAGAAAATTAAAAAAAAAAAACATGTCATCCTGCTTTGTGATAAAGCAGGTAAAATACTGGGAAAGTACAGATTTTTTGTTCCACAGACACTTCCTCATATATTCCAGTCAGTAATGTTTTCTTTCTTCTTTCGGTATATATTCGGTATTGTACTTCTGCAAACCACACATTTCTCTATGCAGTTTCACATAAAATGTTAGTGTGATCAGTGGTAAATAAACATATGCATAACATTAAAGAAGCCCTATAATGTACCACTAAATCGTGCAACATAATCTCTCTCTTTCTAATGACATTGTGCACATTCTTTCCAACCAGCTGCTTGTTACCTTGCTTATCATTGAGACCCAGTTGTCCAGCTCTGTTTTTGCCCCAGCCAAATACAGCTCCGGACAAGGAGAGTGCAAAACTGTGGTCTCCCCCAGCAGTTATCTGTGCCAAAGGAATTCCTGCCAGAGACTTCAGAGGATGAGGGGATAGCTTGCTGGGCTCTCCTTTCCCCAGACCGAGCTGGCCACTGGTGTTCTGGCCCCACGTGAACAGTTGGCCGTCTGAGTGGAAAAGGAAACGCAGAATTCAACCATCTATACATCCATACATTTTCATCAATAACTCCTGCAAAGTACATGTATTCTGCAGTGTGACACCATTTGGATTTTGCACAGTATACAGTGGTGCTTTAAAGTCTGTGAACCCTTTAAAATGTTTGGTTTTTCTGTGTAAATAGGGCCTAAAGCTCTTTTTCTGAGGTCCTCAAAAATCTCCCAACCGTATTCCAAAAGAAATGTTGTGGAAGAACCTGAAGCAACATTTACTGTGAGGAAGGAACATCTTAGATTTGAAGCTGTTCTATACAGACAAACTGACTAAAATAAAACCTTCAACCCCCTGTGCTGAATTGATTAGCGGTTTCCAGAAACATTAAGTTGCAGTTATTATTGCACTAATGACTCATGTCAGATGGAGAGAGCAAAGGTCACATTCTTTCGCAAATCAACATGTGTAATATTCCTCTATATATTTTCCTCAGTAAATAAATGGCAAAGTATAATATTGTTGTCTCATTTCTATATTTTGGTTCTCCTTATGTGGTGACTGTGTTGTGTTTATTGTATTTTTGTATTGCTGGTGATTGATTTGTGGTTGCGGCTGGACTGTGCTCTGAGTTTTTCAGGTTGGGCGGCGCTGCTTGGAGGAGAACGCTCTGTGCTGGCACAGCTGCAGCTCATCTCATCATTACACGCTGGATAAAGCCACCTTTCCACCTGTGCTCCAGTGCCAGATGATTGTTAACTCCACAAGTGGTACATTCGGCCCCTTAGCTAGTACATGTGTGTCCTGCTAAGTCATCTCGAGTTTATGAGTAACTGTATTCTCTTGTGTTCACCAGCGTCTCCTCCAACGGCTCCAGCATCCAGCTTCTCCAGCTCGCTACGCCAGCCCTTTTTGTGTGTCTGCAGAATCACAAGTTTGGATTTTCCCTTGGCACGAGCGCCTGTACTGGAAGATGGCCACACGAGCACCGGCACAAGATATCACTCGCCTGCACCACCGCGGCGACCAGCACACCAACCACGGATCCCTTCACCTGCCTCCCGGTGCCCCACACTCCCTGGTTTCCCTGAAATAACCCTATTTACCTTGTTCTCGGTTTGTTTTGGGTCCCGCACACACTCTTTTGGCCACCGGCCATAACACCTTATCTACTTTTAGCACTGTATGAAGCGTACACAAACTTTCAAGCACTATTTTATGTCCATTATTATGTCTCCTGCCCTCATTCCTGCCCAAATCTAAGACAACAAACCTTTTTCCAAATCCGAACACCTCTCTTAAAAACTTGGGCATTAATCACCTAAAGGCTAAAACCTATTTATTCACCTTAAAAAATGCCATTCACAGTGTCAATAATTATGTTAGAACCCAACACTTTTACAAAAACTGTAACTATCTCAAAATATAAATACTCCCAAGTTTTTTCCCTTCAAGAAGATATTTTCTACTATTTGATAAAATGTCTTCAAACAGAAACACATAATTTCCTAATTCCCCACAATGCAACAGCATCTCTCATTAGACTCTACAGAACCACGGTGCATTGCAGGCTTTCTGTTCAATCAATTACACAGAAATAACCCTGATGGTGTTGGTTGACATTTCTTGGTCCCAATCTAACACACCCATCCCAAGGGAGGAGAGAGTTGTCACTACGTCAACACTCATCTAGATGTATAAAATAACGTAGGCCCAATTGTTCTTGTTTTTTAAAGAATGTATTTTGGCGTAGCACCATAATCAGGCCAGTAACCCTGATTTGTGTTTTTAGATGCCACCCACAACTCAACCCAGCAGTCACAGTATCTCACAGAAAAAAAAAACTAATATAAGCAGGGGTAAATAAATTCCAACAGAGTCTGTCTGTAAATTTCAGTCTGTGAATATGAGAGGCTTTCTGGTCCCATCTGCTTCAACGAAATGTGGACACAGTTAAGATATGCAGTGTACAAATACAAAATTTGTGAGTGCTGGTGTGTTATGAAGAGATTGTGTCTTTCACACCTCTAGAAAGTGCGATGCAGTGCTGGTTCCCACACATTACTTGGGAGATGCGATGGTCACACAGTCTTTTGACCAACCTAGAAAAAACAAAGGACAAAAATATACGTTTACATGAGGCCCTTTTGTTTTCTGGCTGTATGCAACTTAGAGGTTAGTTTTGTAATCCTGATTAACGAGTAGACTGCTGTTCTTAACAATGGAGAGACATCAGTGTGTTGTTTAAACTTTCAACAAAATCTTCATTTCAAAATGAAACTAACTCACAACAACCTAACTAAGAAAATTACAATTAAAGCTGAGACAGGCAACATTTTTTTTTTGGCATTGTTGGTCAAAAATTCCATAGAAACCTTTCAGCATATTGTAGTTGACATACCCTGAGAGGGAACTAGACTTCTACAGATGCTAAACTAGATGTCATCAAACAATCAGAGGTCTGCTAACCCAGAGCAGGTGAGATTGTGAAAAGAGCAACACACAGTGAGACCATGCCATGGTGGCAGAGTGGATTAAACAGAGTCCTTAGAGTCAGGCTTGAGTCCTGTTCAAAGCTGAAAAAGAGTGTTGTATTTCAACCTGACTATTTTTGCACATTTGAACATTGTGTATATGCTCATGTGCTCATCTAGTTGGAGGGGACAGGACAGAAGGAGTAGAGCTGTAGGAAGAGAGACTTTTGGGGGGGTTTTGTTTGTTCATTTCTTTTTTTTTTCCCTTTTGTAGATTTTTGGAAACTATTTCCAACTAAGAAAAACAAGCTTCTTGTTACTCACTCTAACAAATTGTCAGTAAAGTACAATATATTGTAAAACCCAATTTTTCCTGTTTTAACCCTCTGAACCGCAAAGCCTTTTTTATTCGCCAAAATCACACTGTGTATCATCGCAAGAAACTGTAAAAACAGGACAAATTTTCAGGTATTCAACTTTCCTGCAGTCCTTGAACTAATCAGGTATGACTGTCAGTTTTGTGTGGAAAAAAGACCAAATCTAAGCCTAAAATCTGCATATTTCAGCTTTGCTGTACATGCCTTATTAAAAAGTTTGAGGAGAGTTTTCAGCTTCAGAGTCTTATTCAGCTATTTAAAAGTGTCATCAAAAGGAAACACAGCTCAAATTCTGAGATTGTGCAAGAGTTGGGTTTTTGGTTTATAATTAGTATACTTGACTTGTCTGTCTAGTCTCAATGCTATGACCAGCCTAAATCTGTACATAGCCTTCTATATAGGAAACTCTGTCATATTTATTTACTATCCTACTACAAGTTACTGAACTGCATCTCAAAAGTAATTATGATGGCTGTTTACATTTTAATTAAAATATTTATTTTATTGAAAACAGAAGCAATACTTTATATTTTGCAGATACACCAACATATAAAATCTGTACCAATACCTACACATGTTCCTTAAGTCAGTAGGTAGAAGGAAAGTGAAAAAGAATATCAATATACAGTAGACTTAACCCGCACTTGACGCTCACTTCTCCTAAAACCACATCCAAGCAGTGTACAGAGTTAAGTGTAGTCGACCATTCACCACATTCGGTGGCTCCAAAGCCGCCCACTTTTTTCTGGTAGTGCATCTATAGGCTGTTTTTAAGAATGAAAATAATCAACAGACATTATGAAGTTGAAGGTTACACATGTTGGATTCAGCGTGAATATTAATATTCATGTCCAGACACACATTTATGACCAAGCCTGCACAGTGTTCATGGGACTGAGAAGAATATTACTGCATCTGTCAATATAAATAATGAATATTAAATATTCTTTTCAGGAAGAAACACTTCAAAATAATGCTTTTTTTTTTTTAATATACACTACCTGCAGTACCTTTATATACAATAACTCAGTTTAGCCTCCTCTCAGGTTCTGAATGTGTTTTTCACTATCATCTCATTATAACTGTAACACAGTAAAGCTGACACTATTTGTTTTAACAATTTATCTTAGCTCGATGTTCAGATTTTTGTGTTTCAGTTGTCCATAACCAAGTGTGTCACGTCTTGCTCTGATCAACCTCCACATGCTTTCAGTGTTAACAGGCACTCTGAACCGTGGCAATTACCGGAAATACATTGCACAAGTAGGCACTTGACTACTTGCAAATACCACAAGTGTGGGTTTTGATGTGGGTGTTTCTGTTCGCTCCGGCTGAAAGCTTCAACTCCTCTATGATGCACTACATAGTCACCTTGGGATTCGAACAGCCGCCTCCACAGTCCCCAGGCCAAGCTGTCCCCCTTCACCAGCTCCCCAGGCAAACACTTGACCTTGCTCATTCACTGCCATCGAATGGGCCCGACCACATGATACCATTGTTATCTTCTGTGTATCCAGAGCCCCTACCAGCTCTGTGAAGAGAAAAAAAAAACTTGTCAGACTATAGCAGATGTACTTCTATGACAAAAAAATGAAAGCATGTTCAGCCTTGATTTAGGAGTGTGGGTGCTGAATGCACTTACATTCACTGATTCAAGCCTTTTCATTTAAGACCACTAGCCTGGGACATGATTCTGATTAAAATTAAACATTTTACTAATCAAAACCCATCTACCTTTTGTTTTTTCAGTTATAAACCTACAAAATCCAAATGGTATATTATTTTCATTTTCTGATTTGTTCAAGTAGAAAGCATTCACATCACCCTCATGCACCCAACCCATGTGAGGCATTTAGTTTGACTATCAACACAACAATCTCATCCACAATCTCTTTGACAGTCAAAACTTAAAATTACCCAGAACGAAAACAGGCATGTGTTGCATATATCAGCACAGTGAAACCTGAGATTCAGATCGTTGGAATGTAATATACCCACTAAGAAAAATCTGTCACCTATGTTTTCAACTGCACTGAGAAATACAGTAGGAAATACATGTATTACATGCTTCACATACAAGAGTGTATGTGAAGCAGACAATCAGAGACTATGTAGTTGGTATGCTAGTTTCCTGAGTGGTTTCCTGCCATGGAACAGGGAAACAAAGATGAGCTGCATCTAACTACAAATACACAATAAAGTTGATAATGTGGTTTCAAGGGAGCTTACACTAGAGCATGATTTCAAAATGATAAAGTCAGGTTAACATCATTGATGATGCCTCCTAACCAAAACATAATTATGTTGAGTACCAATACTTATGCAGTGTGTGGGATATCGTCTAGGCAGTTTCTCTCCTGCTTGTCACCAAAGCTTTTCAGGTTCACCCACATGCCTAAACAAAGGAACATGCAACACAAACTTCCACCCACATTAACCCAATACAAACCCACTACTGTTTACAACTACTACACTTTGGACAAAAATGTGTATATGCCAGAACAAGGAAGTGGAAAAGTTCTGTTTGCCTATGTGTCGCAGCTCTGCAGTCATCCAGGTTGCATACCACATTTTTAAAAAAACACAACTGGACTTGCTTAAACCTGCAGAGGACACTTCACGGCACATTTGGGAAGGTTTTTCAGTTTTACACAAAAGATTTTTCTAGAATTCCAGTCAGTGTGCCGAAAACCCAGCCACGATAGATATTCTACAACAGCAAATCCTGTTGCAACTTCTTTGTAATAGCTATTTTAGTTTTTGATCTATTTTTATAAGTTAGGGCTTTTGAGATTTGAATGAAAATGGTTTAAAAATTAACCCATGTTCATCGTCCGTAAGACCACTGTTGGCCAAAAACAATAAAGCGCTCCATTTTTATTAGCCCATCAGTTCAATCGCTACGACTATAGCCAGATTGCATCAACCAATCATGTCATGCTTGTCCGTATTCTCAAACATGTCAAACATGTTTGGTAACTTTCCACAAACACCTAAGCAGTGAGGCAGGATGGTGCAGTGTGTAAGCCTTAATGATTAACCAGGTCGGTGAATCTGGTGATCAAACTGACGTCTCACCTGGGGAAGTCCCTGCTTTGTCATGTCCCAGTTGTCCACAGCTGTTAGAGCCGCATGTGTACACACTTCCGTCATGCAGCAGGAACATTGAGTGTTGCCCTCCACAAGCGACATCTTTCAGTCCCCTGCCACTGAACACTTGACAGTTCCTTGGCTCAAACACTGGGTTCCTTTCCACACCGACACCCAACTGCCCATCCTTGGCATTCCCCCAACACAGCATGTTGGTGAAGGGAGAGGAAATGAGCACCAATCTGAAGAGGCAGAGACAGTGATGGCCAGATGGAGGAAGACAATAATGCTCAAGCTTGAGAGCAGGCCCGCTTTCTCCTCTTCATGTAAATTCCAACCCTGCAAGAAATGAAAACCAGCGCCATTATGTCATCTTTCCTCATTAGGAATGCACACTGATCACTGTGCTCCATGTGTGAATCCTGACGACGCTTCAAGAATGAAGTAAGGATGAGTTTCGAGGTGGGTTTGACTGTGTGTGAGAATGATGTAAGCACTTTGACATAGGGACAGGCCATGTGTTTAAATAAACCCTGTCAGTGTAATCCTGGCTTAAGCAGCTCCAAGTAGTCCCGCCTTAATGTCCATCAACTCACAGAGCATGCATGTTACTGACTGAGTTAGACATAGATAAAAAAAACAAATAGAATAGCACAGAATAAGCAAACATAAGAAGGGGAGGTGATAGAGGTCACATGGGACTATTCTATGCATATCATGTATATTGATGGGTGAAAAACATATTCAAAACTTTACTATCTTTACTGTATAGCTTGAACAAAACAATAATTGTGATTACCTACACTTAATTGTCAGTATATCAGCTAAACCAGGCTAAAAACTAAAGCAGTTTAATTTTGCTGCAATGCAATAAAACCTACCTTCATGAACATTATAACCAGAGCTGCAACAACGAGAAATCAATTAGTCAGTCAGAAAATAATTGCTAAGTTTTTGTGTTATCATCTGGTGATCCGACCGCACTATCAATTTATAAAACATTAACCTAACATTCACTAATTTTGCACTATTTGCTGACGTTTTTTAGAACAAACCATTATTCAAGACAGTGTTCAGTTGTGGTGAGCTGCAGTCCAAGTCACAATGTTGTTGTTTTTTCTGCTACTCCTTCAAAACAATGAGGGTACACTAAATATGTGGGTAAAAAATCAGTTTGTTCGTGTTTTATAACTTCTTTACCATTTTTTGTTACATCTACTTGATTTAAAATGTTCACTTGACTTCTCTAAGTGATCCCCGACCGTGATAGCTGTTATATAAATACATTTTAATAGCGGTACCAGTAAAACTAGTAATACAGCGACAACTCAATTGAACTCAACAGCACCAGCCCCCAAAATAACCATAAATTCGAATACCCTCTCTAAAGTTCCTCCACAGTTTAAACGAAATCTGAATATTATAAGTTTAATCAGGGATGGCAGATTCCTGTATCAGACTACATTATTTGAACCAAGCTGGAAGAATACTGAGAGTGGAAGAAAATATTGAAAATGAACTACAGCACTACAGCAAGCACACTAATCCCAATTAGTAAACACGACAGAAAATATTATATATAAAATAGCGCATACTAGCTTACTATAAAACCCTAAACCTGGCTTTGAACGGCTAAGAAACTGTTTTAATATATGTTAATTGCCTGTGGGCTATTACTACTGGCCAACAACCTCAATTAGCTTAATATGAATTTCGTTCAGCTAGTAGCTAAGTTTAGCTATGTGTGGACTGTAAACGGTTCAGCCTTGTCATCTTTGAGGACAAGTATGTAACGTAATGTTAGCTTGCTGGCTTATGTTGTGTACAAACGCAGTCTGCAGTCTTAGTTAAATATCTCCACTGACATTAGCTAAGTTAGTTTCGCAGCGGAACCAAAATACACGGTTTGATGTCCCACACAAGCCGTTATAGTTAATAGCTAACTAACCTTAGCAGGCTAAAGCAACGGTCACTGTCAGGCTTATGGCTAAAAACACAAACCGAGTGAACAGCTCGTTGTTCACACTCTTCGCAAAAAGATGTTGTAATAAAGGTGGTTCATGCAGGATTAAAACGGGGTGTTTACCTTGACAGATGCATTCTGAAATTGGGCGTCTGGTTTCGGTTCAGCAGCTCAGAAAACAAACGAGGAAGTACCACGGGTGCACACGTCACCGAGCGTTAGAGGCAGCGCGAATGTGATTGGTCCACCGACCAGGAAGTGCGGGTGTTACAACAGTGACCCATTACGTTCTGTAATCTGTAAAGTAAATTGGGCTAAATGAGAAGATATATTTTTCAATGTTTCAATGTTTTAGACAAGAACATTAAATTTACCTGACTCTAAACATGTTGGTGTCCGGTTAAACCTAAATTAAATATTTTTTAAGATAATGAACCCTTGCAAGTAAAACAATAATGAAAACAATCAGTAGATTTTTCAAACTTTGGAAAAACTCCCTCCACAGATGCAGAGGACAGTGTATTGCTCTTTTCAATCGCTGAGTCGTTTTCTTGTGATGAATAAACTGAACTTCATGTGTAAAACTAGTGAACTGTGTATCTTTTTTGAGGTTTACAAAATCCATGATGTCATGAAACATGCTAAAGAAAATATTGATTATGTGACATTAAAAAAGAGTGAATAAACATTTAATCAAGTTGGAATGTGAAATATAACATGCAATGCAGTGGATAAATGTAAAACACTAACTTGACGTATGTAGGATCAGATTTTGGTTATGAAAATAAAGCTTTTGCTGCCTCAAGGTCTCCTTTCCACACTTCAACACTTTTTGTTTGAGCTCATTGAGCTTAGCCACAAATAAATAGATTATTAGTATATTTATATGTGAATTACAAATACAAAGAGAGAAAAAGGTGGCTGGAGGTGGTATCTATAGATGCTTTTAAGCGTTCAGCATTGTGGATTTGTTTGTTGCTGTTGAGAGACATAAAATTAGCTGCTCATGCTATGGCTTTGAACAAGACTTTTTAAATAAAATCTAATCTAGTTTAAAATAAAATCGTTTAAAAAAATGAATATTTATATAAAACTGAATAAAAACCTGTTGTCTCTAAAAACTGCTAAAAATTTCAATCCAGGGAGAAATGGGAAAAGGTCAATTTGGAGAGCGTGCCACCTGTCAGTGGCAGTCTCCTTTGAAAACTGTCGCTTTGCCTCCAGTTCTCTTATGTATGCATAGTGTAAATTTGTATACTTTGACAAACCTTTCAGTATTTGTTATTATTCATTTGTTTTGTCACAATGAATCACACAGCAGTAGGCTATATAAATACTAGTTAAAATGGCCTTGACACATGGTTCAGGTCATATGTGAAATCATATCATATTTCTGAGTATAATAATGTGCATAGACTATATAGTATACAATATATTATATAAATACTAACTCAGCTTATTTTGCCAAGTGAAATTTTACAGCTCCAAGAGGAGGTCAGTTTTGCACAGTGGCCCCAGTTTCAAATAGCAGGATTGAGTTCTTGACTCAGTAACCTAAAATTCCAGCAGGGTTAAGACTGAGGTGACAAGGAGGCCTCAGATTTCTCATTGACCTAAATTAGTCCAAAGTTAATCATAGTTGATGCCTGGGGTGAACTGGAACAATGAATAGAATAAAAGCTGTGAATAGGGAAGAATTAAATTCAATAAGTAAACATGTATGCTCACTGGCGACACAGAGCCCTTCCCATGAAATTGTTTCTCTGACTGGTTGCCGGAGGCCGAAGTTTCCGCTTAATGATTGGTCCACACAGCTGTCAATAATCATTTCGTTGGCCAATCATATGCAGAGTTTGTGGGGCGTCAAAGGAGGCGTAGCCTTTTGGCGCATGCTGATTGGCGCGGTCGCATCACAGGCCTTGTTTGATAACATTGAAGGTCCACAACACTGAGCCGAGGGCGGCGGTTTCATTCAGCTATTTGATATTAGGTCTTTAAGAAGCCAGCAGAAGATTGAACCATACTTTTAAATTTTAAAGACTCGAGGTAGGATTTTATGTAACTAACGGCTAAAAGGTCAGGGTGAAAACCACGGTAATGTTAGAGAAACTTCAAGCTCAGGCTAGCCACCTAGCTAGCCAGTCAGCTAAAGATAGCTGTCGTTATGCAATCAGCCAGTGAATGCTAACACTGAAGGCGTATGTAACATTAACGTCAGTCCAGTGCAGTTTTTCATTAATTGAATAATTGAACTGTATTTTATTTGGAGCCGTGGACGTATTCTAACTGAGACACCGACTTACACCATTTGTTTATATTGTCGTGATAATGATATGTTGTCGTACAAGCTGCTAGCTTTACGACTGTCAGTAGTTGCATCATTCGTTAGCGTTGACGCTAGCTCTGTCTCTTGATGTGCTGTGATATATGTATAGCTATTATTAGTGCGTTAATGACATTACCCGATGCTGTTAAAAGTTGGGAGGTATTAATCAGGGGTGACTGCAAACACATAGATAAAATAGGCCCAATATTTTTGTAGTTATGATACGCTGACAAACAGAAAATGCTTATTTTCCACCATCATTAAGTCAAACTTCTTAGTTAAATACATGTAATGAACTTAAAGGTAAAGTACCATTCAAAGGTTTGGACACACCTTCTCATTCAATAGTTTTTATTATTATTATTATTATTATTTGATTATTTTCTACATTGTAGATTATTACTGAATCACATCATTATTGTCAATGCCAAAGAAAAGCTTCAGATGTTGATAGCAGACAGGCTGGAACCAGTCGATATTTCACTTTTTTGTTTGTTTAATAACGAAAACATGTCAGGGATTTTGATAAAATACTGATCAATTTTCAGTCAATTAACTCTTCCACCTCAGCTTTTGTTTAAAAAAAAAAAGTGAACCAGTTTCTTTCTGAAATATGAAGAATCCAAAACATGTGTTCAGTGATTTCTAGCCTGAAGAGACCTTTATCCCCAGTACCACTGATACGGTGACAACACCTGCATTTAACAAAATGATTTTAGCTTGTTAATGTTCAACAAAATTCTGCATCCAGTCTAACTTAACCATTTTTTCTTCAGTGCTTGGACAGTACATCCCTCTACGTCTCCATCCAAAGCTTCCCCGGTGTTTGTGCTGTCAGGGTGATGTCAGCAGCCTGTCTCGTGCGCCTGGCAAGGTGCAGTGGTCCTCATGTGGGTCGTAGTAGTCTTTTACAGACGGCCCTAGTCCCATTTTCACTCCAGCACGACAGCCACCTGCAGTTCACAGTCTCCCGCCGACAACTTTACAGCCCCTCAGGAAAACGGCACAGCAACACACGCTTTGATGCTGATGGCAGTGGCCAACCCACCACTTGGGATTCATTTGGCATCTGGGACAATCGTATTGATGAGCCCATCTTACTGCCCTCCAGCATTCGTTATGGCAAGCCCATTCCCAAAGTTAGCCTAAAGAAGGTAGGCTGTGCCTCACTTATTGGTCAGCGCAAGGAAAATGAAGATCGCTTCCAAGTCTCCCAAATGACAGACAACATCCTCTACTTTGCTGTGTTTGATGGGCATGGCGGACCAGAGGCAGCTGACTTTTGTGAAAAATACATGCAGAAATTCATCACGTAAGTAAATATGGTGGTATCATGTATCTACACCAGTCACTGTCACAGGACATTGGACTGATTAACAATTTGAATGTCAGATGTCACACCTACGTAACCAATGTTCTTTTGTGTGTTTTTTTAGGGACCTTGTGGCAGAAGAGGACAACCTGGAGTTAGTTTTGACAAAGGCCTTCCTTGAAGTAGACAAATCTCTCGTGAAGCACTTACACTTCTCTCCAAGTGGTAGGTTCTTTCATGTTACGCGTCCTTAGATATACTGTGTGCACTGCGTATACACACATACATATATGCAATGACACTTTTTGCTTCGCTCTTCTAACTGAATTTGCTTGTCTTACTTCGGCTTTGAAGCCTTGGATTTCCCAAATGACATGACCAGAGCACTTTTGATTAGAAGTCCGTCATTTCACCCAAAGTTACTTATTAAGTGATGAACAATATACAAGCTACAAGTAAAGCAAACACTAGCGCTTCACTGCTTTCAGCAAAGAATCTGCACAGACAGACAGGCAACAAATTAAAGGAAAAACATGAGTACATGTGGGGATAAACATTATAAACGTGGATCCTTTCGTACAGGGCACAAGGTGCCATCAAATAGTTTGATAAGTGTAAAAATTATTTGAATTGTATGTCATAGTTACAATTCTTGGTCTAGTTAACAACCTTTGGAATATTTTGGACTGGCAAGTTAACCAACAGACCCCACCACTACCAACAACTTCTAATGAACTACTCGCTTGGAGAGTGTATGCCAATAAACACTGAAGCTTTTCAAAAGGCTTGTGTGGTGAATGTTGTTTTTTTTCCTTGAATTTGTTACCTATGTGTTTATATTTTCTCAGCCTTAAAAGTATATTGTTTAGCACAGGCATTGAATTCATATTAATTGTAGTTTTAGCTTCCCTCAAAAAAATTTTTGCAAATTATTTCTCTCAATAAATCCTGGTTTACATGTTTGCCCTAGTCGTGTAGAAGCTCGTCAGATTAGCTTAACTTTTCTTAAACACCATTCTGATTATCTGTTGATATAAAAGCTAGTTTTCCTGTTATGTGGCCATACAACGGCCACGCTGTGTGAAATGTCCCAATATGCCTGTATGTGTGTGTGCATGTTATCTACGGCAGCTGCTGACCCAGCTAAGAGCTGGAGGCCCTTGGCACCATTGTGGATGACGAGAGGCTAGATTTTGAAGGAGAGTCCAGCGGGTCCTAAATCCTGGACTACTGGAAGGTTCCCTATCTTTCTCTAACTCCTCTCTCGCTCTCTCTCTCTCTCTTTTCTCCTCTCACCAAGTGTATGCAACGCTTCTTGTGAGACAGTGCTTCAGTTTGAAAAGTTGTATGAGATGTATGTTGTCAGTGACAGATCAAGTCCATGAAACGCAGCATGTTTAATATTCAGATTAGGCTAAAAACAAAGACCTTAAAGTCTGTAACTAGTCATTTCATTCATTTCTTTGGAGGGAGAAAGGTCTAATGCAGGTCTACAAATGCCAGCAGATAAATCAGTCAAATTTGTCATCCCTTAAGAAACTGAAGTTTAGTGTTTTATGTCTGTTGAGCAGGACATTCTTTGCCAGACTCAAATGGTTGGCAGTACAATAAGAGTTATTAGGAATCACTGTAATAATCACTAAGTTACTGATTTGATATCATTTTCCTTGTGACTGACTAGTCGTACTTTTTCCATAATTCTAGAGGTATAAATGAACAACGTGAGGCATTATTAATGAGTTTATGTTTTGCGTTTTGAGTACCAAGCCCAGCACTGGACACTGATAAGTGTCATGTGTCAGTTGTTAACCTTTATCACTTTGTGGTTCAGCTTTAGACTTCAATGTTGTAGAATTAGCTCTGGACCTCAACTCCATGCTGCAACAGTTCAACCTGCATGTGCGACTGCCTCCTCCTCTATTGTTTACTGTGTAATCTGTAGTTTCCTCTAAGTCTCACGATATGACTTCCCACCCATGTGTTTATGTTGCAGTGTGTGGATGTGAGTGTGAGATTCACTATGTGGTTGTTGCAGACAATGTGACCTTTTTTGTGTGGACCTTCGGAGCTTGTTCCACCTCTAATGTCCACTTTCATGTCTCTGTAGTAGCCGGGATGAACGCAGGAACCACCGCTACTGTGGCCCTGCTGAGGGACGGCATTGAGCTGGTGGTTGGAAGTGTGGGTGACAGTCGTGCCATGTTGTGCCGCAAGGGCAAGGCCCTTAAACTCACTGTCGACCACACTCCTGAGAGGAAGGACGAGAAAGAGAGGTACATGATGTCGCCATTGTCACGACTCAGACTGCCAACCGTAGCCAGTGATAGTCATGCAGCTTTGTCCAACTTTTAGTCAAAAAAGCTGTTCTTGATCAGCTATTGGTGTCTTCAAAAGTTCTCCAGGAAAACAGCTCTCAGAGTCTGATACTAAACAATGCATTACAACTTCCTATATATTTCTGCAATTTTTCCAGCGATCCTCATCCTCCTGTGAAAACACAACCCATTCTTTTTTAAAAGACCAATCAGCACAATTTTGCCACCATTATGTTTTAATTTACTCACTTTTGAGGGTGTGTGATCTAGCCATGGCGTAGTTTCACCTACCTCCTTTTTCAAAAAATACTATTCCTCACCTTGTACCTGCATCCAGCAATCTATTGCGCACCTGAGAGAGAGCATCCCCTATTTTTCATTTTTGTTATCATTTATTCAGTTTAAAATCCCACAACACCAGTAATGCTACATTGGGACGTTATCACAAAATGTGTCAGCAAGTAGTAGCTGTATAAAACATAATGGTTCTTGAAGACATTCAGTTTGGTTGATGATGGAAAATCCTTAAAAAAAAATAAAATTTCAGACATGCCACAGTCTTATAAAGACATTGATGATACTGAGCATTGTGTATTGAGCCTTTACATATAAGAATTTGCAGTTTAAATCTTCAAAGGACATTTAAAAGTTACATTGCGTTTACCCCTGTAGCTTTGTTACCAATACATGGCCTGAACAGATATTGATATTGTTGGGGTTACTGAAAGTGTAATTCTGTTTCTCTCATTTTTGTGTCTCCTCTTCATTTGCACCTTCTTGTAGGATAAAGAAGAGTGGGGGCTTTATCACCTGGAATAGTCTAGGACAACCGAACGTCAACGGCAGGTTGGCGATGACACGCAGTATTGGAGACTTTGACCTGAAGAACATGGGAGTTATTGCTGAGCCTGAGACCAAAAGAATATCGGTAGGTTTCTAAGTTTTTTAATTAGCATTTCTTAAGCGATGACAAGTTCCGTTTTTTTCAACAGAATGTGTACAGTGGTCTTCATTGTCTGTCTTTGAAAATGAGCCATTACATATTTCTTAACTGCCACTTCCATGTTTGAACTTCCAGCTATAAATGTGGTCATTGTGCAAACAAATTCTTTATGGTCTTTATGTTTGATGTTTCTCTTCATGTTACCTGTTATTATCTGGATAGTTTACAATGAATATTAAACATCTGGGTATATTTTTGAATCAACACTCTCCTACCCATTAACATATTAATCTGTACAACCAGTAGCGCACATCTCTTGAGTCTTAAAAGACATGTTATCTTAAGTTATTACCTGTCTTTACAATGACTCAGTTTCCACTTTAAAATGTGTCTACCTTCTTATGATGTCCTCTGATAAACTACTTGGTACAAGGAGTTTTCACATGTTTGAAACGTTATATTCTGCTTGTTGTTTCCTCAGCTGCACCATGCCCATGATGCGTTCCTGGCGCTGACCACAGATGGCGTTAACTTCATTATGAACAGCCAGGAAATCTGCAATGTCATCAACCAGTGCCATGACCCTAAAGAGGCGGCTCAGAGAATATCTGATCAGGTAAAATGTTCATACTTGACTTAAAATATGTATATGAAAGAGGTGAGGTCTGTGGGTTTATGCTGTGCTGACGGGATTAGAAGCTTAATCTTAACTTTAATTGGTGGCTAAATACTTCAGTAATGTCGTCTTTTAATTGCTTGTGCTTGCCGCTTAGAGTATGTTTACAAATCTCATTATTAACCAAGAAGTTCATATATGCTCAAGAGAAACAAGGGAGACTGCAACGCGGGGATCATATCAACTATCAACAATATAATATCTGTATTAGAGCAACTTAATACATGGATCTATGAACGCTGATCTTACAGCAAAATCTCATGCGTATCCCTGTGCATCGACTCTTATTCCACGGCGCTGGTACCTTTGTCTTACATGTGAGCAGACCTTTCTACATATATTGATTTTTTTTCTTTGCATTGTGGCCCCCTTCTCTCTTAGGCTCTGCAGTACGGTTCAGAGGACAACAGCACAATCATCGTGGTGCCGTTTGGTGCTTGGGGAAAACACAAGAGTTCGGACACAAGCTTCTCCTTCAGCAGAAGTATCGTGTCCAGTGGTCGCTGGGCGTAGTCAGCAGGACGTTGGATTACAAGGTGCGGTCTACGGACCCCATTAATGTGTGCAATACAATAGGTACCCTTGAAGAAATATTATAAAGAGTGTGTTTTGCCCAAACAATGATACCTGACGGCTAAGACGTGTTATTTAGCGAGGCATGATATTTATTAGTCTCTCTAAAGTCAGAGGCAGTGAATTCATGATGTGCACTAAATAGTAACAACACTCCCTCTTTATTCAAGGTTTTATCTACTAGCGAGCCAATGACCTTAAAGGCGGTAAAAGCTGAGAAGTGCGCGAATGGCAGACAGGAATTCATGATGACATGCAAGCTTAGCAAATATGTAGCGTGCTCTACAGTAGCTGAGATTTTAAGACTAGAATTCCTGACTGTCTGCCATTCAGATATTTTTTTATCTGTTTAGCTGTTCACAATGCCCAAATTTGCACTTTAGATTTCCAAGGGTATCTTAACTTGGATAATTTAAATTTCAAGGAATTTGTGTGTTTGGAGTTCAGAGGTGCGGTTTTTAATTTTGCACCATTTCTTAATGTTGATGATTGAACTGCATGCATAAAAGAGAGTGGGAAAAGACAACTAAACTGCAGTAATTTGTCGATTATTTTGAATCAATTTAACCCTTGTACATAGAACCTTTTGACATCTTAATAAACCCAAATATGAATATTGTGAGTAAATTAAGTCACTGGGTGGGTCTTAATGATTGGACTTTGGTTCTGGAGTGTCAAAGCATCTTAATTGGACCATATGTAATTTTCTAAACAATTTCTCTTCTAAACTAATCTCTCTGACTGCCCCACAAGCAACTTCAACACGTAATATTTTCTGTGTATTTAAAATACTCACTAAGGCACCACTGAAAAGCATTGATGGCAAATCGCACAATCTTGAACAGCATTTCAGTGGCTGAACTTGACATGTACAAAAGTAAGATCTTCATGTTTAGTGCAATGTTAACATTGCTCAAGCTTGTATAAGTGTTAATATCCGTTCTGATTTTAAACAGGTCTTGTTGGGGCACCAAGAAGTGCTCAGGGTACAGAAATGTATAGTGTATGTTTTGTAAATAATTATATTTATGTACTTCTGGAAAACCGATAGTTCTCTGTTACATTTGCTCAATATCTCTGCTCAATCTGTCATATCAGAATATTTCACATGTGCGGGGCCTTTGGTGCTCATTTTGATTGTACCTTCATTCTAATCAGTAATTCTTCACTTCCGCCGTTTGTGTCACTCAGACAAAACAAAGCACACTTAATGCAACACTAAAGAACTGTTCAGCTAATAGCCATGTATGACAGTGTGAATGTTTGCTTGAATGCCCTCCATGACTAAAAAAACACAATCAAACCCTGTAGGGTGTAGGAGTATTTAAGCTGTACAAGTTGTCTTGGCTGATCTAATGTGAGTGGATACATTTTCCAAAGTAAGGCAGACTTACCCCTTTTAGACGGGCTGTACTGTTTTTGTTCACTGTTGGTATGAAATTGTGTTTTGTGGGTTTTTTGTTTGTTTTTTTTAAGCAAAACAAATCCAGCACTTCCTATTTATTGGCTTTATTTTACTGTATCTGCGAGAGCTGCAAATCATGTGGAACGATCAGCTGTTCCTCAAACATCATTTATAAGTGTTGTGTAAATAGTATTTTTCTCCCTCATTCACACGTTGAATAAAACCTTGATTTATCCTAAGGACTTTGTCTATGCTTAACACGTCCTCCTTATGAGCCTTTTCATCTGAGTGTTCAGTATTTTACTGTATTTATGTCACAGCCTTTCAAATGTAATCACTATCTCTGTGGATCTGTACCTGGGACCTAAATGTGACTGTTTCAACAACACTGTTAGTACTGTTTTACTGGTCTAAATGGCGTGTGACACTTCAATAAAAAACTCTACATCCAAAATGTCATCTGTGTTGCAGTGTTTACAGTAGCTGCTACTACCAGTGTGATTAGGTTTTTGTGGAAATTTGTCAAACAGCCATTTCAGCATAAGTTAGGGCAAGTTGTTAGTCATGAAATCTAAATTTCAAAATGTTTTCTCCTATATATGTAGTCAACAGGGTTACTTGATCCCCATGTTGTCTGAGAATATACACAAAATGTTTAATAGGTATCACGGACATACTGTAAATATCTTTTGACTAACAGACTAACATTTTGTGATCACCTAAAAGAGAAGTCCAGTTGCTTTCTAATGAAGCTCCAAAGAATTTGTAATAATCCAAAAGTAAACAAAACAACAACCATGTCATCACCCTATCTTGTTTTTTACGTTTCTCATAGAATACAGGTTATACAGATCGGAGACTGTTTGAAAGAGTCTCTGGCCTCTCTGAAATAATCTAGTTTCTGGATTTTCAGAAATAGAATTCAAGTTTAAGAAATCAGAGTCTGTGTTTATGAGAATCTTAGCACCTCTGGGACAGTCTAGATCAGATTTTGCCTGTCTGTGTTTGCAGTAGTTTTAGATCTGGACCTGGTCTCTTATTGTCTGGTAGTGGACTGCACCTCTGCATTGCAAGGTTTAACAAGTTAGAAACCACTTTGAAAAAAATAATATACAAATCTTTAGTCTTTGTAGGATAATCTAGTGCAGATCTGACCAATGTAAATACAATGGTTTTAGATCTGGACCTGCAAATAAAGCAGTGAAGTGTATGGTACTGGTCTAATGATGAATGTGGTCTAAAGGTAAAAATTAAAAAAAAAAAAAAAAAAAAGCAGGGACATTTCTCTCTCTCTCTGTCTCTCTCTCTCTCTCAGAAACTATATTTTAAATAAACTTTAACCTTTGTAGGATAACACAGTCCAATTCTGACCAGCCTACATTAGGCTTTAGATTTAGACCTGGTATAATGTGCCAACAAACAAATAACATCTCCTCTTTGCTTGTCTTTTTTATTTTTAATCAAAATCTTTTAATTGATCAATTTATTTTGCATTTTCACAAATGG